AACGGCCAATACCCAGAGACTATAAAACACAGCTCCTGGAAGTGAACATCTTATTATCTCATTCTTACTTTGGACAACCTGGCAGGCTACCGAATGTGACCAGCCCACATGGCAGAGTCTGGCAAACTCCCCGTGGTGTACCCAATATGCCAAATACCATCACAATGATGGGTTTCATTCTCTTAACCCTGAAAGAACCTTGAATATGGCACTTTTTAAAATCTCAGGGCTAGGAGGATGGAGATGTTACTGGGGCCTGCTCCAGGCAATCGATGAACAACAGGATGATTGTGATTGTGATCGTGAGATAGACCATTACAAAGATGCTCATAATTGGGTTTCAGTTATACAATGCTCCAGCATCCATGTACCATCCAGTGTACATCTCCCACCACCAATGTCCTCTATTTCCCTACCTCCATCCACCCTCACCCTCCAACCCCAGTCTCTATGGGAGGCATTTTACTTCTTTATCTCTATCTCCTTTTCCTTGTGTGCATTATGGTTTGCAATATAAGAGGCATTTGTACTTTAACAAGACTGTCTTGGGCTCAATCCCCAGCACCCCAATAGTCCTGGAGCCCAGCTCTGAGAACAGAGCCAATGGTCTCTCCAATTTTTTTTTTTGCTTTTTGGGTCACACCCAGCGATGCATAGGGGTTACTCTTGACTTATGCACTCAGGAATTACTCCTGGCGGTGCTTGGGGGACCATATGGGATGCTGAGAATTGAACCTGGATGGGCTGCGTGTAAGGCAAACAAATGCCCTACACGCTGTGCTATCGCTCCACCCCCCAAATTCTTATTTTGAGGCGAAAAGGGATATATTAAAGAGCAGAGCACTACTTGGTTTGCAGGAAGCTTGGGTTCAATCCCTAACATCACATAGTCCCCCTTGTGCACCATGAGTGCCCCCACCCCCCAACACACACAGAGCTGGAAGTGACCAAGATGCACTGCTGGATATTTCCTGAAAACAATAAAAATAAGATCAATATTTTTATGTCCATCTATGTAATCAAACGTGTTTATTTCTCCCCATCCCACTCCCCGTGAATGCCCTTATCTTAGCATAAATGTGGGACTTTAATTTTTACATTTAGTCAGTTTTAACCAGTGTGCAATTATTTTCCATCTCTAAACTCAATTCTTTTTCATATGTGCCCTATGGCAACTGGAGATAAGGACTTTCCAGCTTCTATAGAAGCATTCTCTTTTTCTTTTTCTTTTTTTTTTCATTTATGATGCTCTGAAACAGACCTTCCAATTTTTTTCTTTTTGCTTGCTACAATCTTTGTAATAACCATTGTTACCATAGAGACTAAGTGCCACAGTCACTTGATCTCCCAACGCCTTCATTGCATCTGTACTTCATCTTATGCCACCACCAGTGATTATTTGACTAATCACGATGTCACAGCATGCCAGAGATTATCAGTGTCCTATTTCCTGAAGCAAAGAAGCTATCTGTGAGTTTCTCTTATGTGCTCACTACCCAATACCAAAACCTATTTTAAGGGTGCTTCCTACAGCCACTTCTTGTGCCAATTACTGAATAACTCAAGATCCTGACAGGAAAGAGATAGTGCATTCAAATGGGCCTATTAAGGGAGTTCATTAAAGGACTATTTACTAAGTGTGGAGAGGGTAAGAGAAACCAAAAGTAGTTGGTAAGAATCCGGGGGCTTAAAAGGCTGAAGGCTTTAACAATCCCTACCTTGAACTTTATTCTCTTTCTAACCTCTTTTCTCCTGGCTTCTCCCACAGAACAAACTGTGCTGCCAGGAGATTGATATATAGTTTATGCATGACATAAAAATAACCTCCTTTGGATATAGAGAATGAGAGGGCATTGACCTAGAGACATATTTAGCAAAAGTTCAGGAGTATGTTCGAATTGGAGGTCTCCTTTGAGCTCTAATCTGTAGATAAAACACTTATTTGACACCTTCAGTGGGATTCCTTAAAAGCTGCTCAGATCCAGACTGGTAAAACATAGATTCATTGTCACTCACCTAAGTTCGTTTCTCTTACTATTGAAAAGGAAATCTGCTTTCAGAGCAGGAAAACGGTAAGTAATTCATGATGCCGCCCTTCGTTTTGATTTCCAATTCATCTCTGATCCCTGTTGTATTTTTAATTGCTTTTAATTCCACATATTCCTTTTCTTCTTTCTATCACTAACATAAAATTGTCACTATTGTGATGCTTCTAAGCTATGTTTTTTACTGGTTTTTGTTGTGGATATATATATATATATATATATATATATATATACATATATATATGTTTGTTATTTATTGAAAAATGTATTTGGACTTTTTGACTTTGGAGTGAAACATAGAGCTAGTCATGTGAATTCACCCTTAATGTAGATAATTGCCTATCAGGGTAGTGATCTGCATCTCCACTTGAGATGCAAACTCCCAGCTCTTCCCTCCAGGAAAGTCTGCATTTTCTCTTGACTGTGTTAGTCTCTCTCTTTTTTCCTTCTTCATAATTTCTAACTAAAACCATTTCACAAAAACAAAAAAATAGAATCCTAAATGTTAACCATTTTGAACTTCAGAAACTGGTTTATTCAGGTGACTTTCACTTGGATAAGAAACAGGACTCCGTAAATGCAGCTGCAACTTTCCAGTAAGATAATTCAAACATCACCTCCTTTATTCTCATCTAACAGACACTTGTTCTTTTGACCACTGACACTATGTAAAAGATTAGTTTTGTCAGGAAGGCTGCTTTTTAAGAAGTAACTATTAGAATATAATTCAATTATTAGAAAGTGTTTTTCAGGGGGCAGAGCGATAGCACAGCAGGCCTTTCACAGGACCCACCCAGGTTCGATCCTCAGTATCCCATATGGTCGCCCAGCACCTCCAGGAATAATTCCTGAGTGAAGAGTCAGGAGTAACCCCTGAGCATCGCTGGGTGTGACCCATAGAGCAAAAAATATGTATATATATATATATATATATTTCATCCACAAAAGAAGTTCAATACTCATCAGCACACACTTCTCATCTTCCTCAGATTTCTTGCCCCAGAAGAGAGAACTGGGTACATTTGTTTAGCAAATCCACTCACAAGATCATGAAAGGTGACCCTGTATTTCCCCAATTCTTATTGCTCAATGCTACTGCAATGAATGGATAAAGCACATTTTATTTACCCTTTCATCAATTGATGGACATTTGGTTTATTTATAATTTTGTAAATATTATAAAAATTTCCCCTGAATATATAAATTATTTTGTTTATTTTACAATGAAAGTATCAAAAATCATTTATCAGAGAGAAAAAATGGCAAGGAAAATAATGGCCCTGAAAATTTGGTTATGACTTATCATCCTAAATCTGCAAATATATTGCTTATAATGCATAATAACTTTAAGTGTGGATCTGATGCAATGCAGTGCAATCCAACCCACTAGAATCTAATCTATGATAAGTTGCTTTGAATCTCTTTGTTCTCACTCATTGCATCCCTGGGTTTGCCAAGTGTCTTAGTCATTCTGCATCATAATCACTGATTGAATTCTGAACCTGAGGTATCACATGTACTAGTGATGTTAGATGGTGAGAGAAAAGTTAGTTGGATTATAGATTCCTCTGGAACTATAGATCCTCTGGAAGATCCATTTTTCCCCTCCAGCTAGGGAGGGAGTATAGGGAGTTGGTCCCAGCAGGGCTCAGGGCTTACTATAGACTGTAGATACTGTTCTTGGGAATCACTCATGGTTGATGGAGGATCGTATGCAGTATTAGTGATTAAAACAAGGTCGACCACATCGAAGGCCAACAATTGAACCCAAGTACTATCTCTCCAGCCCTGACCCTTACCTTTTCTGTTATGTCTTTTCTGTATTCATTTTAATATTTTAGAGTAATCTAAAAAAATTTCAACTGAGGTACAATTGATACATGCATAGCCACACATATGTCATCAGTCCAGTTTCAGGCATATAACTTACCCATTTAATATTAATTTGTATATATTTCAAAATGTCACCACTATAGATTATATCTTTTGGAAAGACAGTTATTTCCTCATTGAACACAAGGACCATTGTGGAAAAAGTATTGGACATAAAGATTTACGTCTTGGTTTTCAGTTCAGTTCCATTTATTTATATGTCTAGACTTAATCTGCCATGATCGTGTATTGATTATTGCAATCTTGTTTGAATTCAGGATGCATGAGCCCTGCATTTTTTTATGAAACTTATTTTGGTTGTCTATAATTTGAATTTTCTTATGAATCTTGGTATCAGTGTGTCACTTTTTTTCAAAGAACTATTTTGGGATTTTGACATAGACCGCGGTGAATCTATAGATCAGTAATGGGAGGAGCAATATCTTAACAATAAAAAGTTTTCAGATTCCTAATTAGAGTTGTTTTTGTATTTATTGGGAGTATTCTTTAATATCAGTATTTTCTAGCTTTCAAGATACAAGTCTTGCATTACAATATAAATGTAATATTTATATATGAGCTATTTTATTCATATTGACTATTGCAAACAAAATTGTTTTCTTAATTTTATTTTTGTATTATTTATTGCTAATATACAAAGCAATTGATTTTTATATTGATTTTGCTGAACTCATTTATTAGTGCTAATAGTTTCTTACGTGGATTCTTAAGATTGTCTATATGCAAGTAATTCTCAAGTAACAATAGTTTAACATTTTCATTTTCGATATGAATGACTTATTTATTTATTGTTTTGCTTTTAGGTTTTGTCAAGAATCTCCAGTACAACATTAAATAGATGTGGCAAGAGGGGTTTTTATTATCATGTTTATCACCTGAAAAAGAGGCTTAGTTCTTTCCCGTTTGTTTATTATGTTGTAAACCATGGGATTTTGTACCTCAACTTTTTTTTAGGCCAAGGAATTCTTTTCCTAATTAATTTATTCTCTGTGTTTATTACAAAAGATCTTATCAAATTTTTTCTGCATAAACATATGATTTTCATTCTTTCTCTTTAAATGAGGAAGGCGTTCTGTTTCTGAAGATACCACAATACCAGTTTGATTCAGGAAGTGCCCAGAGCAAGCTCCTATTCAAACTCCCTGTTCCAAAAATTTATTTTATATATTGTCCTTCGATAGAGGATTATCAGATATTAAACTGATAAGAACAGACCCTACACTTGATTTTAGCCAAAGACCAAGAAACAAAGGTACAATAATTCTTAGGTTGGCATTCCTGGGATAAGTTTTATGTGCTCATTGAACATAATCTGTTTCCATTGCTGCCAGATTTGGTTTACTAGAGGTGTTATTTTAAGGATTTGATATTTGTGTTTGCACGGACTGTCTTTGTCTGGTGCTGGTATCAGGCTATTCTGCCACCATACAATAAACTGTGACGTGCACCCCCTTCAAGTTTTGGGAAGGAGTTTAAAATGTATTGGTTTTATTACCCATGCAATTCACCATAAAAAGAACTGGATCCTTGTTTTCCTTACTGGAAGTTCTAAATTAAGATTCCAATCAATTTGCTTGCTGTAATTTTAATTTAGATTCTCTTAATTTTTATCAAGTTAATTTTTGGTGTCTGTCTAGGAATTTTTAATTTTGTTGAAACTGTCTAATTAGTTAACACATCTTTTTGCTTTTTCTCTATTAGTGACTTTGTCCTAAATTAGGCTCCTTGTGGGTAACATAGAATATATTGTTGGGTCTTGCACTTACATTTGTTGGGAAATATTTTGCAATTTAATTGGGATATTCAGGCCATTTATAATTACGGTGATAACTGCTATGTTTGGGTATAAATTTATTATCTTTCCATTTATCCTTTTACAGTTCGTTGTTTAGACCCTTTCTCACCACCTCCACTTTAATTATATACTATATATTTCTCAATCTTATCTTATTTGTGGCTGTGCCAGCAATAAGTTTTTATTTTGTTATATTTTCTCCATGGCTTTTAGTATATGTCTTTATTATATATCTTACAAACTGTAAATTATTGTTTGCTTAGAGGTATCTGTGGTATATTTAACAAAGAGCATAATTTTCCATGAGTGTACTTTTAGTTCTCTTTTGGCCTTTGTGCTATTGTCGTACAGTTTACTTGTCAATTTAGTATAAAATCCCCACAGTGAATTGTTATTCACTTTGCCTAAAACTGCCAAGAAGTTTTATAATGATGCTAAATCATGTTTAATAAAAGTCTCTTCTACACACAACCACATCGTTACCATTTCTGAGTTTCTGGTCTTTGATATAAATTCTTATTTCAATCTGACATAAATTTCTTTCTTTTTGAAGGATTTTCTTTCAAATTTCATGTAGTGAAGCTATAAATACTTTCTGGTTATAAATTATTTCAGTTTTTGTGTGTCTGAGAAAAATCTTGATTTGCTGATTGAGAGATACTATTACTAGCTACAGATTTCAGCATTAAATATTATTTTTATTTAAGTATTTTAAAAACTTTGCTCCATTATGTGCCTCTCACTTTTCCTGGGGAGAAGTCTTTTGTCATTTTTCACGCTTGTGCTACTCTAGTATATTTTCTTCCACAGGCTAATTTTAAGGTTTTCAGTATTAGGTTGTTTCAACCAACTTAATTATGATGTACCTTGATGTAATTTATTTCATGTTTCTTATACTCAGATTCCATTTGGCTTCATAGACCTGAAGATTTATGAAAATTTATGATTTTTTCAGTGTTAGGAAATATAAATGGTTTTATGCCCACCCCTTCTTACTCCATATAAGGGCTTTCATAAAATTTGTATTGGGCTATTGATGCTTTATTTATTCATTCAATACTTTTCTTAGTGTCTTTCTTTCATTTTCTATTTGTGATACTTTCTATCCCTTTGGCTTTAATCTTAATTTTTTATTTTCTCCTACAAAGTCTAATGATATCATAAAATTTTTTTGTAAATTATCAATTCCAGCAACTTATAAAAGGTATTTGGAGGAGGAAGAAAGTGACAAATAACTCCAGCAATAACATGAATATGCAGAAATTAAAAATCCTAACCAATAGATATGTTATATTTAAATATTTCTCATCTTGGGAAGACTATTCTTAGTGTGTCAATTAACTTTACTTCATAGATACTTTACACGAGGCTAATTATTTTCCCTTCTCTCACTAGATTTTTAAGAGGTTTCTGAAATCCCTGATTTAGGCCAGAGATATAGTACAACTAGAAGGTGCTTGCCTTACAAGCAGTCAACCCACCTCCAATCTCCTGCTCACAGATGGTCCAAGAAGCCCAGAAGGAGTGACCCAGGAGCAGAACCAGGACTAAGCTTTGAGCACCAGTAGGTATGGGTTCACTCTCCCCAAATAATAAATAAACAAAATCCTGAACTGGTATTAAATTCTATTAAGTCAGTTTTTTTCTGCCTGTATTGGGACCATCATACAGCTTTCAAAATGAATGATTTTGCTTTGTGAAATCCTTTAATGTGATGCTTATGAGCTTTTGGTGAATGAACCAGTGCATTTGGAGAAAACATGTACGCCAAGTTTTGGTGAAGTGTTAAGTGTAGCTCCATTAGAATCTCCACAAAAAAAAAAAAGTCCAAAGTCTTTTCTCCAATTCATTCTTGGAGAAAGAATCTTTGGTGGGTACTATTATTAACAGAGTCTTTCTGTGATCCACATGCAGTCGCAAAAATCAAGAGAAAATAAATTTTATTCTGACATCTGTTAGGGCACGGATCGAAATCTCCCTTTAACGACAAAGCGACTCCAGAGACTGCAAACAGCAAGCAGGGTTTATTGTAAGACTGGCTAGTCAGGGTCCAACCGCCTACACAGACACGCAGGTCTGGCAGGTTGGGTAAAAACCCTGAACTTCTTCAAAGGAGATCTTATATGGGCCTTCACCGACCATTACAGCAGAGCCCGTGCATTTCATAGCCAATAGATTTGTAATAACAGATACTTTCGGAGAGCCCGGCAAGCTACCGAGAGTATTCGATATGCCAGACACAGTAACAACAAAGTCTCCAATGGAGACGTTACTGGGCCCGCTCGAGCAAATCGATGATCAATGGGAGGGCCTTTACCTTTACCTTCCTAACCAATCCAATTAAAGGGTACATCACTTCTTAGCCTATAGTTTAAAGATCAGCATTTGCGTCAGTGCTTAGGAACGTCCTGGTTTTTAGGGCAGTCCTGGGTCTTGCAACCTGGGTCTTGTGAGAGACATCTGGTTATCTCCTCTGACCCCCACCCTTCTGGTGACTTGCAACTCAGTACCTGTATCTGAATTCCTTGCTCAGAGGCAGGACAACCAGTTATTTTGCAATGCAGGCTCCTTTAAAGCGGATCTAAAAAAAGCTTATCTAGACCTTTTCCTGGAAAAACCAGTTATTTTGCAATGCGGGTTACTGTTAAGCTAAGCTAAATTAATTCTGGTAGTGGTCCATTTTGGGCCTGTCCCTCACAAATCTAGATGCTAGGGATGAATGGACCCACCATTCTCTACTATTAAGTACAAGGGAACATGTCAATGCAGAATAGAAGAATCTCTAATTCTTAACCCAACTTTTTCACAAGACTTTCTTGCACAATATATCTGCTGTGGAGAGAAGGCCTTCTTAAGATTTAATACGTTTGTCACATAGTTCCTATGATTCCTGCCTGTACATGGTAGAAGTATTAAAACTACGAGCCACTGTAATGGAGAATCACCATCCATTCTACCCTCAGCCAATTGTGATTTTCCTTCCACCTTAAATGGAAGTGATGTGACTCAACTTTAGTTTTTGAGGTTTAAGAAATTCAACAGAAGAAACCTGAATATAATTTTATCATTCCAAAGAGAAATGGAAGGTTAGACATGTGAGGTGCTAACTGAACACAAGGTCAGTAGCCCAATATTATGAGATTTCATCATAGAACCAATTTGGTGGGAAACAGGAAAGAATAGAGTGAACTATTTTCCTTAATTAGTCAGTCTGACAATTCATTTTATCTCTCTTCTTCTAATTTTACTTACCATAATAGATGTCCTGACATAGAAGTCTTGACAAGAAGTCTCACCATTTTGTAGGTGAGCGACCACACGATCTTTTGAAGTCCCGTGGAATCCAGAATCCACGTCTTCACCAAGACCCTGAATCATCAGTTTGAGGCTCTCTGTATTCCTGGAGTGAGAAGACGCCATTGGACTACATTAGCAAGTGACAGGGTCGAATGGAGACGTTACTGGCGCCTGCTCGAGCAAATCGATGAGTAACAGGATTTCAAGTGATCAAGCAATCATTGTATGTCAATCTTTTTGCTATTTGAAGTCACTTGTAACTAAAACAATGTACCATAGTAAAGAATAAGTCTGTCAGGGATTCTTGGCACCCTTCGGGACACACACAAAAAAGTTAGTTTCTAGCTTTGCATTTAGTACTAGAGCCCTTATTCTTTTAGCAGGCTGTATCATTGAAGAGCTTTGCACTGTTCTCAAGGTGTTTCTCATAGAGACCAAGGAGCCTGACCTAACTTCAACCCTGGTCCTAGTTTTAATGTGCGCAAGTGACACACATGTCACAGGGTTCTTGTGGTGAACTTTCCCTCTCTTCTAGCACTACCTCTGCAGAAGTGTCTTTAGACAAAGCATTTTTTAAATTGAGGTTCTGTGATATCCTGGTTAAGCCTTTATGGAATGCACAAACTTTATCTTCTTTTGTTCAGATGCATTTTATTTCGAATTTTCAAGTACACCGTTGCTTTCTCAGTGTGATGACCTAGACCAGGCAGCATGTCCCACTGTCCTCTCAGAGCTTCCAGTATTGTTTCACTCTCAGCCATTTATGAGTTTATAATGATACAATTGTATATACACGATTATTGGTACATTAATACTCCTTGATAATAGTCAACTTGATAATAGTCAACTTCAAAGGGTGAAGACCATGCTTTTGCTACTTAGCAATAGAATCTCAGTGACTGTCAAACATATGAAATTTATTTTAGTCTTTTATGATTGAATGTCCAGGAAAATCACTATGTTGTGGATTTTTGGTTTGCATTTCTATTTCCTTTCCTTGACTTCTCTCTTTCTCTCTTTTTCTTTATCCATCTCTCTACTTCTCTTTTCATTTCTTTTCCTCCTCCCTCCTTTCTTTCTTTCTTTGGACCCACACTTTATAGGCTACAACTTTAATATAGGATTTTGGAGGAATCACAGAATTCATATCATAACAATG